GGAGTGTAACGCCAGCCCCGGGTCTTCATTTTTTTCGAGGCGGGGCAAAATCTAAAAATTGCCGCCCCCCTAACACTCCCGCGCTCTTCCCCTTTGGCTAACATTTTCAATATTTGTCCAATTAATATTGCTGTTAATTATTTTGGCTTTATTAACAGTTATATCATCATTTTAAAATGTATCGAACACAATTTACTTGACCGTCTGTCAGTGGTCAAGTTGTCAAATATGCGACAAAAATGATGAGTTGTGTGATTCATCTGCCAAGTTCGAATTTGCCGCCGCTAGAACTTGCCGCCCGGGACACGGGCGCCGTGTTCCGCGGCTGGTACACGCAAATAAGTTACCATACAGTCATTTCTCAATATTTGTTCTATATTTATTCAGAGATATATTGATATTAATATAGAGTATCTGTGTATTTAGCTAGTAAACGCTCTTTTGCTAGCGTTTAACGCTACAAACACACAGACGTTTGTTTTCGAAGAGGAGGGAGATGTTTGCAGTTTAGGTATTGATTAGTAAAGCTGTAAAATAAATGTAAGAGGAATGGATACATTCCTCTTAATTTTCTTTTAAGAAGAAATTACGATGATGCTATTCTTAAATATTCATTCTATCTCTATTTAGTTTAGTAATACTTTAAATAGAAATTTGCCGTAAATATTTACGTTCCGCCCTATTCGGCTCAATCTACTATTACAGTAAATATAGTTTTTTTTATTATTCTGAAAATTCGTTATAATTCTTGCACATTTTTTCTTATTAATTTTCTTATTTTTATACTGTATTGGATTGTTCATACGATTGAGCTAAAGTTATGTCCTTTTTGATAAAAATCGAGTTGTTACGTGTAATTCTAAAACCAAATTTGTTTGAAGAAAACTGTCTACTGTAATATGGAAGTTTATATTAGTTGCCTTATCCTATTAAGAAAATTTCATGGAATTTAAATAGCAATAGTTTATTTTGCTAGTACGATGTTTTGTATGTCGACGGGTCGAGGTACATATAGCCTTAATAGATTTAAACTTTTTACCGCACTCTTATCTTAACAAAGACTATTACTCACTAAACGATTATTTAAATTACAAAGGTGTTAGTTAGTTGTTGTATAGGATTTTGTAACAGGATACTCTTAGATTCAGTAATAATTAAATTCTCTTATGTTGCAGGATATACTTATATTTCATTATATAATAATGAAGTTCTTTTAACAGATTGACTATAAAAATGTTTTGTACTACGTTGCTCTATATAATAATTATAATAATATAACTTAGAACATAGCGCCATGTAGTCCCAAGCTAAACAGAGCTTGTAAGCACGTTATAGTAAAGAAACGTATTGTTTTGATCTCCTTTACTAACTGTCCCTCCTTCCTCGCAATCACGGTGTTTTTGCCTTCACAGCCTGTAATTCCATAAATAATTTGAGGAGCTTGATCCCTACATAGATGAAACGTATCTTTATTATCTCCTTTAGAAATAGAAATAGAAATAATCTTTATTCAAATAAACTCATTACAAGCACTTTTGAATAGTCCCCACACTTCATCTACGCTTCATAGAAGAAACGTATTATTTTGACCTTCTTTAGTAACAGTCCCATCACTCCATCCAATAAAGTTGTTTTTGCTTTCACACCCTGTAATTCCATACATAATTTAAGGAATTTGGACCGTACATAGAAGAAATGTATTGTTTTAAAAACGGTTCAAAGTACTTAGATATCCGTATTAATAAACAGATGTTGATAAATATTTTATATAAACATATATACTTATAGTAGTGAAATTATAATAGGTACATATAGATAAGTCATTTTATCATAATATGTATTCACATACCAAACCGGAATTGTATGGCGTTTAATCTAATTATATATATAAGTGTTTTATTTTGCATAATTATGATAACGATTATCACTATCCTGGCGCAGTGGTTAATGCATTGCTTCAAGTGAATTAAGTTCCGGGTTCGATTCTTAGCGTGATGATTTTAGAAACTTCCGTTCCCCAAAATAAATCGTTACTAAAATACTACACAGTTCTGAGATCTATTAATCTACTCTAGAGATAAATTTCGAACTAATGACGTCTGATGGTTCTTTTTAACTATTCTAATGCTGTTGGCCGCAGCTGATCTTTACAGCTTCACCGAACGTTGTGGGGCGAAAGTTTTTTTGAACTATTCTGATGGTGTTTGGCGCAGCTGGCCTTTACAGTTTCACACAATAGCAGGCGAGTGCAGATGGCACTCCTAACCCGCGGAAAGACTTATGGAGCAGCTGAAGGTCAACTCCTGCCTGACGGATACGACTTTAGTCTGAGGGCAACATTAGGTGTTCGAACCTCGACTCAGGCCGTCGTAATTTCGATCCCTGTTTGAATTGGAGGGATCGTCTGATAGAGCAGTTTTTTACTTTTTCAAAGTCTTGAATTATAAATTAATAAAGTATTAATTGCATATTTCGTAGTCAATGAAACACAATGTTATCGAGTTATTTAAAAGAGAGTTGCAATTAAAGAACTATCCAATAATTGATTGGATTGGAGTGATTAGATTTTAAGATTAGATGAGATTTCTATATAGCGCTGTTAGTCTTGTTCAGATTTGAATTGTTGATTATTATAAATAATTAACAACAAATTAATAAAAATGCTGCTCCGTCAACGAAATACATGTACCTTTCTCGTCTACACTACACCACCAAGGAGCAGGACATTGTCGACTATATACGGACTAGGAGCAAAGCGAGTTTCAAACCGTTTGTGGCCCGGGTCTCCACCAACATGCTGCCCACCTTCATGAAGGAGGACTACTGGTTGGTGTATCAGCGCTATCGTGTCAGATTACCGTCCTTAGTGCCGTGACTATAGACACAATATATTAGTATTATACTATTTATTATATGTATTATAGTCTATATGGTATTTATAATATAGGCCTAGGAGAATGAAATAAATAAAATCAGACTGCAGTCGAAAAGACAGCCAAAATGTGATTTTTTTCATGATCTACCTGCCGAGGTTTTATCGAGAGACTACCGCATGGTGATGTTCGAGAAGAGTACAATTAAGGTTTCATAACGGTCAGCAATGCGCAACACTCCTGGTGTTTTAGGCGTCCGTACAGTAACCTATCTACGGTAACCGTTTACCATCAGAGGTAATATCATCGGAGTATGCATATTTGCCATTATTAAATATAAAAAAATATTATTCAGACAGTGACAACCCTAAATTAGCATTTGCATAACGAGTGGCTTTATAAGGATTCACATTGATGAAGTTATGTCTGCCTAAACTATTGATTTTAATGACAAAGTATTAGACTGTTACGTGTCAGAACTATGGCGCATTCGACGATCAAACTGGTACCTACACACATGCAGATGATCAATATGTGTATATATATTTATACGGCTCGAAGGGCCAAAAAATAAAAAGGGAAATCAATGGCGAATGTAATGAGATGAGACCAAGGGTCTCGTCCCCTTTTATTTTTTAGTCCTTATATTTATATATTACAGTCATATAATGTAGACTGTGCTCATATTTTTTTTATAAACTGTATTATTTTGAATCGTATATATAATTAAATATGATTGAAAATATAATAATCCAAACGGTTGTGTCCTTAACACCGCCTTACATCTGCAGGTCACTAGTTTGATTCCTCATAAATATTTGTATTCATGAGTATGATTGTTTGTATCGGTCTGAGTGTTTTCTATGTATATGTTTCCAAAAAATTGTATGTTTGTTAATATCAGTTGTCTAGTAATAACACAATCTGCTTGGTCTGGGGCTAGATGGCGCTGTATGAATTGTCATGATTATTACTTTATACATATATATACGGTTAAACCTACAGATATATAATCTGTCTGTTTACCAACTTTCATTCGAATCCGTTAAGTGTGAGTTAAATGTTCGAGAATTTTCCAAAAATATACAAAATGATTACACTTTACATCCATAATTGCAGTGTAACCGACGGATGGTACAATTATGTATAGTTAATATTAATTATTTGCAGCCTTCGAACTTAATGTGAAATTACAAACAATTGCTTTCAAAGAAGTTCTCACCGTTTCATGAACGGGCGGCTATTTGCTGCACGAAATCTGTACGATTAGTTCTATATTTTGCATAACAATAAAACTCGTTTACTTAATATTATTGACGGTCTTTGTGGGCTAGCGGTTGAGCACTTTACTTCTGATGGTCGCGCGTTCGATTCCTCTCACGGTACAAACGAATGTTTATATTGTCAGAAACTAAATTCCTATGTGGTTATTTTTTTCATAAATTTATAGCAATATGAATACATTCATATTGCTATAAATTTATGAAAAATTAATACTTTATTGTTCCTATCACAGAAAGAAATTAACAATTACATAAATTAATATGCACACCAAATATAAAATACAAAACAATTGCAATATAAAGGTAACATCGGGCGGCCTTATCGCTGAATAGCGATTTCTTCTAATTTAGTTTATTAAAACAATAATTTATTTATTTGACGGCCTCGGTGGTCTAGCTGTAAAGGACACCGCTTTTTTCCGATGGTCACGGGTTCGATTCCTCGCATGGCAAAAACATTTTGTATTCATGAATGTGATCGTTTGTATCGGTCTGGGTGTTTTCTATGTATATTATGTATTCACAAGAAATATATACTCAATTGTCCAATTATTCAAAGTCAAATACATGGTAGTGTGTGCAACGTTTTTTTTTTATTTAATGTAAATTTCAGCATAATTTTCAATAAATATTAATTAATATTAATTAATAAAAATTCTTCACTGCTTCGTAAAAAGAAGTATGTACAAAGCCTTTGCTCCTTGTATTAATTCAAGTTTGAGTAATTTATATGTCTGACTTATATAAAATATCGAAAATCCCTTGTCTGAACAACTAACTACAAGGTCCTCTCGTCACGTCAGCTAGTTCGCAATTACAATTCTAAAAACATCTTTATTCTTACCTTATTCAATATTGCAGTTGCCAATAGATCTTCATACGTTGAAGACTCTATAGATGGAGAAGGCGATGGTTCAGCTGCGTACCGAGCAAGCGCTGGCAGCGCTGCAGCCTCCTCTACAACCCTCGCCACGAGCCGCTTGAGTTGGGCATGAGCACCGCTAGCGTCGCTTGGGTGAGCGCTAGAAGTGCTTGAAGGGCTGTTGCGAGATGGTGGTAAATCTGTAATAGAGAATATTGTAAATTAGTTATTAAAAAAATGTTATAGAGATTTTTTTTGGGCTTTGGCTATTCTTCAGACAGTCCTTAGTTTAAGAAAATACAATAATAATATTGTGATTATTTATGTCCATCAATCAACAATTCCTCTCAGACATTAAAAAGGTTAATTGGAAGAAATCCCTCTTTTAGTAAGTCCGCCATTGTACGCATTTATTTTTGTAAGTTAATTGTGTCCTTTTATACCTAATTTATCGCACAATAAAGTGTTACAAACAAACGAACAATAAGTGTGGCTATAAAATTGCATGTTACAATTTCAACTACTTTTTACTACATGCATATGAATATAAATACGATACACATACACCAAAATAATATTTTTTACAATTTTTGTCTGTCTGTCTGTTTGTTCCGGCTAATCTCTGAAATGGCTGGACCGATTTTGATGGGACTTTTAGCTTTTAGATGGAGCTTTTATTAGGTAGCTGATGTACTAAGGAGTAATTTCGGCTACTTTCATTTTAGAAAGTTAAATTCCACGCGTAATATATATACACATATGTATAAGTTTATAGATTACTAAAGTCAGATTATTTTGACACCCTTGGTGGTCGAGCGGATGGCACACTGACTTCCTCCAAAGGTCACGGTTTCGATATTCTTGTATGATACAAATATTTGTATTCATGTGTATATATGTATTTATCTGAGTGTTTCAAAACATATTATATACTTGACAAAATGTATTAGTTGTTTATTTATTTATTTATTTGAGCGACCAACAAGACATTATTACATTTACAATACTATGAAGGTACACTTCTTATATTTACAATAATACAATTTCAGATACATAGTGTTGACCTCATTTCTGGTTGCCACCTCATGCGTAAATGTTTACAGAAGGTTTATATATAGGTATATTTTTTATTAATAAATATGTGTATATAAATTAAATTTTAATTTTAACTGTTAATTTTAATAACGAACTGTAAAGAAACTCTGTAAATAAATAAATAATAAACTCGTAGCTCGAGCTCTGCTCAGTTTGGAACTAGATGGAGCTGTGTGAAATGTTTTTGATTATTATTACTGTAATGTTACCAACATTACAGTGTGGTACAGTGGTACACCATAAGAGTTCCCCTCTGATCGATCCCCCGTCCAATTCAAACGGGGATCGAAATTACGACGGCCTGAGCCCATGTTCGAACTCCTAGTGGTGCCCTCAGTCGTATCCGTCAGGCAGGAGTTGGCCTTCAGCCGCTCCAAAAGTCCTTCCGCGGGTTTGGAGTGCCATCTGCACTCGCCCCCTAACATTCGGTGAAGCTGTAAAGGCTAGCTGCGGCCAACAGCATTAGAGTAGTCCGAAAAAAAAAGTACACCATAAGAGTTCCGTGTATGGTTACTGAAAACATTTCAAGGCGAGTAACACCGTTATCATACACCGTAGTGTTGTTGCTGTGTGTTGATTTATACCGATAGATAAAACGTAAGTGGTAACACACCAGGACAAATAAACGAAATTATTTGTTACAACTCATTTTATATAAAACTAGCTTTTGCCCGCGGCTTTGCTCGCGTTACTTTATCCCCTTAGGGGTGGAATTTATCAAAATCCTTTCTTAGGGGATGCCTACGTCATTGCAAAGTCTCAGCCTGATCGCTTTAAAATTGACATAGTTTCATTAAAACTTACATCCCATATTTTATCCCCTTAGGGGTAGAATTAATCAAAATCCTTTCTTAGCGGATGCCTACGTCATAATATCTACCTGCGTGACAAATTTCAGCCCGATCCGTCCAGTGGTTTGGGCTGTGCGTTGATAGATCACTATGTCAGTCAGTCACCTTTGATTTATATATATTTAGATATGTCCCGTATGAAAATCGGATAGTATGAAGTCATAGAATTTACTTCTTTCCCCCCATTGCCAATATCCATTTGATTATCTGATTTTTTTTGGGAGATATGATAACATTTGAGATGCATTTTTTTTTTATTGAGAGTTTTGGGTTATTGTTGTTATTGTTTTCTATGGATGATAATGGGATGGTGCACCCGCCAGCGTTAACGGTTTACTCTGGCGGGGCACCTGTGGAGGATGGAAGGAATATGAAGTCAGGTCAAATAACCCATTGTGACAAATTCACAGAGAATTTATCACGATGGTTTCCAGGGGGAACCACGTGGAGGTCAACTTAACATGGGACATTGCTAGTAATGGGGTCATGAGTCCACATTACTAACAATTTCATTTCGCCTTGGAGAGATTTGGTTGGGAGGCTATTTTCAGCAACTTACACCTGTAACACGACAACCTACAAAGATCTATTGAGATCGCCCTTTTTCAGAGTTCGCTACCTAGACCCGTCAGGGACAAGAATTTAAAGATATTCTTAGGAGCGATAGTTATCATCTCTTTAGGATACCGTGTAGATTTCCAAAGGAAACATTTCGTTTATGCATGACTGGGCTACAACCATATAGGATGTGTAGTGGCGTTTTCTCTTCAGCTTGGGAAATTTTACAAAAAAAAACCAAAGACCACATACTTCGCTTATTACATTGAGAAGGTTATCAATCCAATCAAAATATCTTTATTCATGTAGATCTATTACAGACTCTTAGATACGTCAAATCTACCGTCAGTTCGGAATGATTTCGAGTTGAGAAAAACTGACAAACTCAGCTCGTATTCATTTCAAATAAGTTTGTACATGTTTACAATAATACAGATTCATTTTTAAATTCAAATGTGGGAGAAAAGTGACCATTAGCATATGCTATTGCAGTGTTTGTAACTCGAACAGGGGGCGTATTATGAACTCTTTAAAATCCAGTCAGTTTCCAGGCAGTTCAGTTTAAGCCGTAAACTGAATGGGAATAAGAGTTCATAATACGGCCCGATCGTTGTTAAAAGGGTAACATTGACGACTCAGTTTGTCTGCATTTTATGCAGATTTCATTAACGTCTGTAGTCAACCAGACGTCCTTACGTACGACATTCGTATTACTGCTCGTGGACAGCTGTTTTTTACCATTTAAGTCAGGAGTTGATAACCTTTGAACGTAAACACATTAAGTCTCTTGGACATAAAATATTTATAGTAAAAAATAACTTATATTTAATATTATATTTCAACGGCGAAATAATTATATTTGAGACGGCCATTCGTAATCAAGAAATTATACTGTACCTATATATACATATCAATAAAATTGGAGTGTCTGTTCTAACCGTTTTTTACTACATGCATTTGAATATAAATACGGTACATACACCAAAATAAATTTTTTTACAAGTTTTGTCTGTCTGTCTGTTTGTTTCGGCTAATCTCTGAAGTGGCTGGGCCGATTTTGACGGAACTTTTTTTGGCAGGTAGGTGATGTAATAAGAAGTACCTTAGGCTACTTCTTTTATTTTAGAAAAATAAAGTTAAATTCCACTCGGACGAAGTCGCGAGTACAGCTAGTAATGAATAAAGTAAAATACAGGTGCATATAACATATAACTTTTAATACACCAATTTGAAGGTATTTAATTTTTTTCTTTTTATATAAATAGTTTAGGCGGATAATAAGAATATAAATGTATATACTCGTATATGTACGACGGCCTCGTTGGTCTAGCGGTATAGCACCCCGCTTTAGTTCCAATGACCGTGGGTTCGATTCCTTACATGATGCAAACATTACATTCATGAGTATAATTGTTTGCATCAGTGCGTTTCCTATGTAGTTATATTATGTATGTATTTACAAAAAAAATATGTAGGTATTTAAATATCTTTTACAGTTATCTAGTAGCAATGAAGCTCTGCTTAACTTGGGAATAGATGGCACTGTGTGAATTCCCTCTGGAAAGCAACGTGATAAAATCGGTAGATTTGACATATCATAAGTGTCTGTAATAGACCTACATGAATAAAGATAATTTGAATTTTGAATAATTTCCTGACCTGACCTCATACTCATCTTATCATCCTCCACTGGTGCCCTTTCAGCGCAAACCGTTAGCGCTAGCGGGTGCACAATTCCATTAAAAATTAAAGTAATAAAAAAAAATACTAAGGAATACATATACAAGAATAAAATAGGCCAAAAGGATTTCGCCATAAAGAAAGCGACAATTTTACTTTATTATTATTACTATAATAAAAAATAATACATTAAAAATGAAATAATAATGTTAATATCTTAAAAATACAAGATATATGCGAAGAAAACAAGTTAAAAAGTCCATCAGATTGGACTAATAAAAATTGTTAAAACATTTTTTAGAAACATTATTACAACTATATGTATGGTTAGTCAAAATATTATCACAACCTTATAAACTAATACATAATCAAAATAATAGCGCGTTCTAATTTGATCCCAGCGCCATCTATTAGTAAATAGTAGTACTAGCGTAAATAAAAATGGCGTTGGTTATTTCGCGCCTTTATTCGTGTCATTTTTGTAATTTTATATTTAAATGTTTTATTGTAATTTTGTTATGTCTGTACGTCTGTGTTCAGATATTATAGTAGCATGATAATAATATTTACAAATAACAATTGTTATTTCAAAATTTGAATATTTATCTTAGAAGTAGTTGAATTGACGCAATAACGTCTTAGGTATCTACTTAAGTCAGAAAATATGTTAATAAACGTTTGAAAAACAATTTGACGTAGGTAAGAGGCATTGCTCATTTATGCTAATAGCATTTAATTAAAATTAATTTTAGCAATTGTATTCATTTGAAATACTTAAGGGGATAATACATCATCAATACAGTAACAAATATAAAATTTAAACCAATAAAATAATGTAAGTTTGAAAGTGTAACAAGTTTGTCTATGGTTGACTTTAAAACTAACCTAAACTGAAATGGATGGATCTTAATAAAATTGATCCTAAAGATAGATGATGTTTGTAGGACAATCATAGGCTATCTTGTATTAAAAGAAATACAGATTAAGTTGCGGTTAGCAAATAGTATGTAATAATTAATAATGAAACTTACCTAGTATTTCTTCCAGCCAGTAACAGGATATATACAAGAATATGGCAACCCCAAGCCAAAATCCAATGAGCAACACTGCAATATACTCCCACATTTTCTTTGTCGCATCACTATCACTTGGTGTATTTTATCGACACTATTGTAGCCACATTATATCGATATATCATTGTTATTGCACTATAACATAGGGACGTGCGGTATGAATTACTACTGTTTTTATCGATTTAAAATAAAAATAAAAGCAGTTGGCAAAGGAAAATGTGTTTAACATATTGTTATTATAAGTGTTTATAGTTGGAGATTATTTTTCAATTGTATAATCATGGAACAAATATACATATTTTAGAGTATAGTTTAGTTTAGTTTCTAACTATTACTATACTAGTTTTATAACTATTATAGTAATATTTAATTTAATTATATTAATATTTTTTGTTATATCTTCAGGTGATAAAAAATAAATCTTAACTAATTTATATTCTAGAAAAGGATTTAGTTATAGAGTATATTTTAATAGCCTAGTTACTATGCCATCACTACATAATATAAAACAAAGTCGCTGTCGCTGCCTGTCCGTCCCTATGTATGCTTAAATCTTTAAAACTACGCAACGCATTTTGAAGCGGTTTTTTTAATAGAGTGATTCAAGAGGAAGGTTTATATGTATAATATATGTACACTCGAGCGAAGCCGGGGCGTGTAGCTAGTAATCTATGTGGCAGAAAGCAGTAGAAGAAGACGGTTCATCGACCACAAATAATGAGATATACTTAAGAAAATGACGTGGACCACTTCGTACAAAGCTTTGTCTGATAAATCTACTATCAGTATATGTTTATTGAACTCAATACTATGGCCTAATACACAAATAAGTATTAAATTTTTTTAATGACTTAGATGTTATCTAACTTAAAATTATTCCGTGATTTATTGGAATGCGCGATGACGAGTGAAATCAATTATAAAAGTGACATAATCCTATATTTAAACACATTATAATATACATATGTGTTCTACTGCACTTTGTAGGCACTTATTATAGTAAATTAATGACAATTCAACTCAACAAATATAATGTCTACGTAAAAATTTTGACATTTTATTTAAATTATTAACCGGGTCTTAACACGAATAATTTTATGGCACGAATAATTTTATTTGCCATAAAATTACTATTATTTATGGCAAATAAAATTATTCGTGCCATAAAAATTATTCGTGTAATGTATATTAAATACGAAAGTTTAAAATTAACTTTTGACATTTTGCTGACTATATTTAATAATAATAATAATCTCAGGGCAATTCACACAGCGTAATTGAGTCCCGACTAAAGCTAGCTAAAGATTGGGTTATGGGTAGATTACTAGATTACTGATACAAATATTTAGAAAAATCCCAGACCAGTACAAACAATCATACTCATAAATACAAATGTTTGTGCCGTGCGAGGAATCGAACCCGCGACCATCGGAAGTAAGGCGGTGTGCTAAACCGCTACACCAGCAACGCCGTCAAATATTTTATATGACTGACGATATAAGCCTGCTACCGCACTTAGACTAACTTCGTTTGTTTCGTGTTTCCATCAGAGAGTTCTTTATGGTGAAGACTAAATATGAGTTCTATGAGTCGGAGTAGACTAAATCGATATGTATATATGATCATACCGGTAGTTTATTTTGACTAATTATGCAAGTTTCCAGAAATATTGTAACATGAAAACTGTCAAATATGCATTGTTCAAAAACTATTAAAATGGTCATTATAGACAATCGACAATATGACTTTATGTTTTTAAGAATTTTGTTATAAAGGTTGCTATTCGCTATCGACAAGTCGTTGCTATTTGTTGTACATATCTATATAAATATGTAGTGACGTACCTTCTCAAGTACGTCACTTTAAAAACTGGACTTTTATTGAATATTAGTTATAGAATAGTAATATTCTTTATTTAAAGAAATTTGAAATAGGAACGTTATATACTTTTTATTTATAATAGAATTAAATATCCACATAGTTGTAAAGATTCTCCTTATATTACCGCACTATTTGCTATTTTTCAAATTTCGAACTACCGCCGCGCGGTGCCTGTTAACCAGCGAGCTGATTTAAAAAAGTAAAATGGCGGGTAAATGCCAAAATGAACAAAATATCATGATATATTGTAATATACTTTTTCTGTATTATTTAACTATAATTTGTATGCAATTTAATGTTGACAATAAATCTAGCGAAACAAGTCCTATAAGTCTAAACATTCCTGCTACTGTTATGAAATGCAACCGTTATTGTTTCCTCTGAACACTACTAACTGTTTATAATCAAGACAATATTGGGTTTGGTAGTAATTCCGTTGATTTGTCGATATCAACCAGGGCGACGTTTCATTTTGTTATACCTATTTTTAAACTTTCGCATTTAGTACACATTATTATTATAGTTTATCTTTGGGGGAGGCCTTTGATCAGAAATGGACGTCTTCCGGGCTAAGATGATGATGATGATGATGATTATTATTATTATTACAGTTAAACACATTTTAATACTAATAAATTTATGGTAAACTAGCTGCATTACACTTGCTCATCATTATATTTCGCCCAATTTACATATATTTATAAATTATCTTATATATAAAATTCACGTGTCACAGTTTTCGTTCCCATACTCCTCCGAAACGGCTTGACCGATTCTTATGAAATTTTGTAAGCGTATTGAGTAGGTCTGAGAATCGGCCAACATCTATTTTTCATTCCCCTAAATGTTAGGGGTAGTCCACCCCTAATATTTTTTATTTTATTTTAAGGCAAAACAACGTTTGCCGGGACAGATAGTAGTCGATATATTATTCTGACGTATAAGCTATATTGTTATTAAGTTTCATCAAAATCCGTGCAGTAGTTTTTGCGTGAAAGAATAACAAATATCCATTCTCACAAACTTTCACGATTATAACATTAGTAAAATATGATGACATACGAAAAAGTTGAGTTAGGTAAATACCTTTTTTAACCATAAAGTAGTAATTTAGTAGTGATTCCTAATTTATTCTAGTACAAAATACGGCTAATGTGACTATGGGATAATGTAATAATTTAATAGTGGACGTATTTTTGAAATTATTACCCTCATTGCAGGGTATTTTCCTCAGAGATTTTTTAACTCATGTATAGACGTTATGTTCTGGCTGTTTGCTGTGAAATCTTAAAACACATAACAGACAATCGGAGTTTCTTATTACACATCTTATTATATGTAAAGAGAAAATCTTGTTAATATTATAAACGCGAAAGTTTGTGAGTATGGATGGATGTTTGATACTCTTTCACGCAAAAACTACTGAACGGATTTTGATGAAACTGTACAGTAATATAGCTTATACATTAGAATAACATATAGGTTATAAATTTCATATATATAAGAATTTCAATGTAATATTTTTTTATTTATATATACATATGTAATACTAAAGAAAAAAGATTTAACAAATTTTAGGTAAACGATTGAATAAATATTCGATTAACCCTATTTGTGATGATAAATATGAATTCGATTGATAAATTGATTATAAATATTATTGAATCGAGAGCAAGTCAACATCCGTTGTCATAATACTCGTGTGTTATATTAAGTTATGACATTATATTTATGTTAATCAATGAAAAACTAATGTTCACATTAGTGACAAAGATTACGTCTTTTATTTACTAGGTAGAAACATTAATAATTTTAAAATTAACATTCTTATCTAAACATATAAATAAAATTGGAGTGTCTGTTTGTAATATTGAAATAACCGTTTTTTACTACATTCATATGAATATATGTAAATACGGCACATACAAAAAAAAACATTTTTATACAATTTTTGTCTGTCTGTCTGTCTGTCTGTTTGTTCCGGTTAACAGTCTGTTTCCGGACTTTTTTTGACAGGTAGCTGATGTAATAAGGAGTAACTTAGGCTACTTTTATTTTAGAAAAATATAGTTTAAAATAAATTTTTATATTGATTGGCAGTTATTTAGAGATCCAATTTATCTGGCTTTTATATTGTTTTTCTATTATTTAATCTTAATAATATTATAAACGTGAAAATTTGTATGAATGGATACATGGGTGTATCATCATCATAGACGTATAAACGTGAAAATTTGTAAGTATGAAATAATACATGGGTGTAACATCCATTATATCCATTACGTAATATCCATCCATACTGGATGAATATTTGTTGCTCTTTCATACAAAAACTACGGAACGGATTTTAATGAGACTTTATAGTAATATAGCTGGGCATCAGAATAACAAATACTTAGGCTATTTTCACGCGGGTGTAACCGAGGGCACAGCTAGTCAATACAATATACCTTAGAGCGGTTATAATTACAGTTGGGATTTTCAGAGGTAAATATCATTTGTCAAGAGGTAACGTTTTACTGAACTTAACTCCTAACTTGCTCACATTTAGCTGAGTAGATTTGAATCTAGGATCTTGCAGGACCCAAATCACTGTTACCTCAGTAATTTCGTTAATTATCGGTGTTTACATTTCAGAAAATTTAGACAGAAATATAAATTAACACAGTTCGATGTCGGCCAGATTTGATCTAACGACCTTTGTAATCTATAAATCGACACAGAAACTTTTAAGCCAAGATGCTCTTTAATGTATCTTAATATTCAATCAAAACTATTTAACAGTACCTACCGTTAGTAGTTGCAGTGAATTAGTGCTAGTTGGTGGTTTGTATTCACACACTTCAATTTAAAAATGTAAAGTAACAACAAAATTGTTTAAAAGAGCTGTTTGTGGGGACTGGTACTTTCGGGTTACGACCACTGAGTATTTGCTTTAGTAGTTGCATATGCTGGTGGTCACTCTATTATCCCAAATTTGAATTTGAAAATGAATCTGTATTATTGTAAGCATGTACAACATTTATTTGAAAAGAATACGAGCTGAGTTTCTTGTCAGTTCTACTCATCTCGAAATCATTCCGAACTGACGGTAAATTTGACATATCATAAGAGTCTGTAATAGACCTACATGAATAAAGATATTATAAATTTGAATTTTGAATTTTGAGCAACACGCAAGTTTCTTGCTCATACTTCTTATGATGAGACAGCTTTACGAATGAGCGGTAGATTGAAAAAATAAAATGTGATGA